TTCCGGGCGTGGTAGCGCATGCCTGTAATTCCAGCTACTTGGAAGGCTGAGGCGGAAGGATCGCCGGAGCCCAGCAGGTCGAGGCTGCGGTGGCTGTGTACTCCAGTCTGGGCGACAGAATGCGACTCCAACTCAAAAAAAAAAAAAAAAAAGAGTTGAAGATTCATTTAGACTAGGAGATTGTCAGGGAATAGGGTGGACAGCTAGGGATGTGAATTTTAGAGATTATAGAAATGTTGCAGTTATTTTTTTCTTCTGGGAAAAGACATCAATTTTACATAGAATGAAAGAAACAGGTTTTTTTGGGGGGATGTGTAGGGGATTCCTTTAACACTTAACCAAATATCTATATTTTTTCTGTGTAGACAAATAGCAACTCTACACATAAGCACAAGACAAAGCATGCTTTAAAAAAAAAAAAACAATGTTATAAGCCATGTGAAGTTATTGAAAAGTTTTTTAGAAGATTTATACTTTTTAAACGATAAAAATTTAAGCCAGCAACTCTTTTGGGGTCACATGGTCTTTCTTTGGGTTATTTGCTTGTTTTGGTTTTTACGCATTATGTTCTGCTTTCTCACAACTTACTAGTTTCAGTCCTCAGCTTAAATCAATTGATTTCCATTTAATATTTTTTTTTTGAGTTGGAGTCTCACTCTGTCACCCAGACTGAAGTGCAGTGGCCGCTCCCGGCCACCGCAGCCTCGACCTGCTGGGCTCCAGCGATCCTTCCGCCTCAGCCTTCCAAGTAGCTGGAATTACAGGCGCACGCTACCACGCCCGGCTAATTTTTTGATTTATTGTAGAGATGAGGTCTCGCCAAGTTGCCCAGGCAGGTCTCGAACCCGCGGGCTCAGGCAATCCACTCAACTCAGCCTCCCAAGGCACGGGATTACAGGCTGAGCCACTGAACCCGGCTTCCATTTAAATTTTGAGTGAGAGGAAATCTGATTGGTTACTGGTCTTCCAGACTATGAGATATTAACCTCTAATCAAATTGGATATAAGCAGACCTCTTCCAAGAGTTATGGGTGAGGGTAATTCCTCAAGACAAAAATATACACTAGGCTGGTTTTCAGGTCTTTGGTAGGAATCACTTACTCTTTCTTGTGTACTCTTCAGAAATATTCTGAGTATGCATGCCTGTTTGTATTATTGGTATATACATGACTTTTTCCAGAGGGAAGACTTAGAAATGATTACTGTTAATTTCTTTTGGAGAGAAAATCTTCTCATGTTTGACTTTTTTGGATTATTAGAGCTAACAGTATGCACATGTTTTTAAAATTTGTCAATAAGAGCTTACTGGGAATGGGATTATAGACCTTATATACTTCTGTGTAGAGGGGAAAAAAAGCCAAATAAATGTTTTGTTTGTCTGCTTTTATTTTGAATGGGGATTTCACTCTGCCACCCAGGCCAGTGGCATGATCATGGCTCCCTGCAGCCTCGACCTGGGCTCAGGTGGCCCTTCCACTTCATCTTCCCCAATAGCTGGAATTACCGGTGCATACTACAACGCCTGGCTGAGTTTTTTTATTTTTTAATTTTTTTTTGGCAGAGATAAGGTCTTGCCATGTTACCTGGGCTTGTTTTGAACTCCTGGGCTCAGGCAATTCTCCCTTTGCCTCCCAAAATGCTAAAATTACAGGCGTGAGCCACTGCGCTGGGTCTAAATCATACTTTTTTTTTTTTTTTTTTTTTTGAGTCAGAGTCTCGGTCTGTTACCCTTGCCCAGGCTGGAGTGCAGTGACACCATCACGACTACCATGTCCTCTACCTATCTTTCCACCTCAGCTTTCCAAGTAGCTAGAACTACAGGTATGTGCCACCATGCCTGGCTAATTTTATTGTAAAGACAAGATCTCACCAAGTTGCCTAGGCTGGTCTCAAACCCCTGGACTCAGGCAATTCTCTTGCCTCTGCCTTTCAAAGTGCTGGGATTACAGGTGTGAGCCACTGCGCCCAGTGCTCCAAATCATTTTTTAAACGTAAACAAGTAAGAGTTTGTTACTGCTGTTTCTTTTTAGCCTGGACTCATAGGGGTAGCTTTGGTTTTGCAATTTTAAGTACATTTTGAACTTCTGCTTTGTATTGCCTAATTTGTTAGTAATATGAAGGTTACAGCTTTGAGAAAGAATTTATAATGGAGCAGTTTGTATTTTCATGGAATAATTATTTTACATGACCAAGAACTTGACATAAGCTAGATAGAATCAGTATTAATCATGATAGAAGTTAAAGCTTCTATAAAATTTTGGCTGGTACCATTGGACAACTAAGGCACCACACATAAATAGTATATCCTCTCATTCAGTTTACTCCCCCACTCCTTATTTGGTCTTGAGTTTTGTGGAAGAAATATATTCTAGTCATTCTAGCCTCTCTGCCTTAGATTAATTTTTGACTTCTTGTATTTTCAGGTTCTGGGTTTTTTGTTGCTGTTTTTTAAAAAAAAATAGAAATAGGGTCTTGCTTTGTTGACCAGCCTAGTCCCTAACTCCTGGCCTTGAGCAAACCTCCTGCCTTGGCCTTCGAAAATGTTAGAATTACAGGCATGAGCCACCATGCCCTACCCAGTGTCTTGTATTTTCTACATGCCATGAGATGTTGCACAGTATCTTTCACTTGGTGGTGAACATTCTGAGTTTTGAGCTGTGTGCATTATGTCACTGAAATAAAATAAACCCACAAGAGTGGTGCTACATAAACATGTCAGTTTGTAGACTACTGCATACAATAACTTGTAAAATTGACATGATATTTATGCATTATCATTCTTGGTGTGAACCATTTTGGTTCCTGGAAGGCACAGTTCATTCTCCCGCTGTGAGATATCACACTGAGAAGTAGCACATTATGATCTGAGATTTAAAAATTAAACAGTGTTGAAAGAGAATTTTTTGTAATTGCTAAGTGATTAATTTTGAGTCAGTAGCTTTTGTAAGTATTGTATAATACTCTATAAAGTATAATTTTTGTTTTAAATTATATGTATTATGATATCTATCCTAGCCCAACTTTGGGCATTTTATAGTGGGATAAAACAGTGGCTTCTTTACAAGTGTCAGTTATATTCCTGTGAAGATCTAGAACTTTTATATACCAGGCGTTTTGGTTGTGAATTATGACTATATGGGATACTTTTATTTTTTTTTTTTGAGTTGGAGTCTCACTCCATTGCTCAGACTGGAGTGCAATGGCACACTCATGGTCACCCCAGCGTCAACCTGCTGGGTTCCTGCAATCCTTGTGTCTCAGCCTTCCAAGTAGTTGGAACTGCAGGCACATGCTACTACACCTAGCTAGTCTTTTTTTTTTTTTAATTTATTGTAGAGACAAGGTCTCGCCAAGTTACCCTGGCTGGTCTTGAACCTGTAGGCTCAGGCAATCCACTCACCTCGACTTCCCAAAGTGCTGGAATTACAGGCTGAGCCACCGAGCCTGACCTTTTTTTTTTTTTTTTTTAAATAGTTGATTCCCCACCCCCACCCCCTACCCCGTCCAAGACTAGTCTTCAGTAAAAGCATTCCATCTTGTGTTTTTTTTAAAAAATATGATATTTAAGAAATAAGTTACAGTGATATGATAACTGAGCTTTTATGTATATAGTTGATTTGTGACACCAAAATAAGTAAAATAAATGCCATTAAATCTTCTCTTTGTATTTACTGGTCATTTGGCTAGTTTATTTCATTTATTTTAATACTACAAGATTATTAAAAATTCTTGTTAACTAAAGATTCCACTTTTAGCCAGTCCTCAGACATCAGTAAAAGCACTCTTCTACAATAGCATTTTAAATTAAGAACAGGTATTGAGACTTTTGATATTATCAAGGCTTTTCCTGTGTAAATAATTTTATCAACATAATTATTTGGATTAGAAAAATACTGTCCTCTAAAATACAATTATTGGACAAAATATCCAAAGGAACTTTAATTTTGTAAGGTAGGACGCCATTTAATAAAAAGTGATATTTAAAGAAAAAGAAACCTCAGTTTGAACCTCAGGTTTTTGGTAGTTGTATAAGCTGAAATAATTTTTATGCAAAATATTAGGGAGGCCTTATTTATTAGGGAATTCTAAAGTCACTTCATATAAGAAATAGAAGTTGCTTGCAAGCTTGGGGTCAATTAATTCTTAGTAATATCAAGGGAGTCTCAATATGATACATTATTAAGTTATAAAATTACTTTTAAAAGTAACTTCATTCTTATTTAGTGTCATTTTATATCTTGACTTACATGAGCCACTATGCCTGAACCAGCTCCTTTACATTTATAATTTGCATTGTATTTAAAAATAAGTTTCATTTTTTCAAAAATATTCTTAGTGTATGTATATCTTTAGAAGAAAGACATGTATTCTCACTCAAGAGACAAGTAGGATTGTGGTACATTAGTCCTTTCTTATATGGACTTCTTTGACCCAGAATCATTAGGAATCATGTGGCATTCAAAGACAATGTTACTCTTCACCAAAAACTCTAGATCAAATGCTTCTGAATTGCTCCTCTAATTTAGTAGATTATGGCAGCCTTTATTTAAAGTGCCTTTTCTTTTGTTTGTCCCTTAAGCAGGGAGGGAGAAGGCTTCAAGTCGGAGTATAATTTGATGCCTTGTGGTATTTTCACATGTATTACAGTTATGCTAAGAAAGAATCTGATCTTAATGGAGCCCAGATCAAACTTCGAGAATATGAAGCAGCACTGAATTCTAAAGACGCAGCTCTTGCTACTGCACTTGGTGACAAAAAAAGTTTAGAGGGAGATTTGGAGGATCTGAAGGATCAGATTGCCCAGGTAAGAAACTTTGTTCTTGAGCTATATTTGACAAGTTAATTGCCCCATCTGTCTTAAGCCATGGTTTGAATGATGGATTGATTTTTTAGAAATTGGTTATTTCTTATTTTTGAAATTTTATTTATTTGCTTCTTTTTTTGTGGCTTACCTGACTAGTCTTGAGGTAGCTAACATACACAGCATCATCACCTCTCAGGCGTTATGTAGGGTTTATGCAGATCTTGTTTCTGGCCTTCTTCCTCTCTGTTGTATATATGCTAATCCTCAGCACCCAGAGAGGAACTAGATCAGCAACACAACTCACGACTCATCAAAAAAACAATAATAACCATGTAGTGCAAAGAAGAGAAAAATCAACCTGAGTCGGAACTAGCCAGACTCACCTGGATCATCAGCAACACAACTCACGACTCATCAAAAAAACAATAATAACCATGTAGTGCAAAGAAGAGAAAAATCAACCTGGGTTGGAACTAGCCAGACTCACCTGGATCATGGCACAGATCACAAGTAGCTTCCAGATGCAGTAGGGAAGGTGAGTGAAGGGAATTCAGGAATTCTGTGCTCCTGCCACAGGCATGGAGGGATCCCTGAGCTCTGTGGGACTCTAGTCCCTCATCTGAGACTGCCTTGCCCACAGCTGTGTTCTTCCACATGGAGTGGTGCAGGGAAAAGAAGCCCTTGGCAGCTGCAGCCACCATATCCCAGAAACTCAACCCCTCCTGCATCTGCTTTCTAGCCAGTCTGGGAGGGAAGGGCAAACCCCACAGTGACAGACTTCCTGACTGGGGTGGACTACTGTGGGGACACCTGAGGCCGACTACACTTTGATGTTTGAAATGCAGACTGCTGGAGACCAAGGTGATGGAGCTGGTGGGACTCATTGCCATAGTGTAACTTTCCACTCCCAATGTAAACTTGTTGTGCCCCCTCTGCACTAGAGCATTACCCCAGTGACTGGAGACTCCCTCCCAGTTCCCGCTGGGGTAGCCAAGAGTACACACAGGTGGGGGGGATTGAGCCCCTTCCCCCTACACCTGCACCCACTTCAAAAGCTCAAAACATAGAACCTGGGTAATCCCCATAGCCCTGTCTACTGCATAGGTTGGCTAGGCACTTTCTTGGAGCAATACTTTCTAAGCAGAAAGTCCACAACCACCACTACAGATGGCTCTCTCTCGCAAGAACTACCTCTTGGCTGGGGGGGTCAGCAGCATAGCCTATCACAGTTGATATAATACCTCAGCTTTGAGGATGTCTGATTCTAGACCCCAGCTACCATCACTATTCAAGCCATCTCAGATACTCAGGACACCTTGAGCCTTTGCAGGTGCCCTGCACAGGGCCACCACAGCTGGCAATTGAGAAACTCACCACACTAAGTCACCCTACAGTGTCTATGTCAACCACTACCAACCTCAACTGAGAACTAGTCTGCCCAAATGAGAAGGAACCAAAAAAATAATTCTGATAATATGAAAAAGCAGAGTTCTTGGACTCCCCCAGAAGACCACACTAACTTTTGAGCAGTAGACCCTAACCAAAATGAAATCTTTGAAATTCCAGAGATAGAATTGAAACGGTTGATTATAAAATTGCTCAATGAAGTTTAGGAGAAAGTGGAAAACCAACATAATGAAATGAAAAGAAAAAAAAAGATTCAGTACATTCTCCAAAGAGATAGATACCTTTAAAAAAAAAACTCAAACTAAGCTGAAATTCTGTAGATGAAAGACTCATACAGTGAAGTACAAAATGCAGTGGAAAGTTTTACAGTAGACTAGAACAAGTAGAAGAAAGGATCTCAGAACTTGAAGACAAGGCTTTGTAATGAACCCAATCAGACAACAATAAATAAAAAAGAAAAGAACAAAACAAAGACTCCAAGAAATGTGGGATTATGTAAAAGTCCAAATCTAAGAATTATACACGTTCCTGAAGAAGAAGAGAAGACAACAGGTTTGGAAAACCTATTTAAGGGAATAATGGAGGAAGACTTTGCTGGCCTTGCCAGAGATTTAAACATTCATATTCCAGGAGCTCAAAAACTTCCCCAGAATGCTCATTGTAGAAAGGTCATCTCTAAGACATATAGTCATCAGGTTATACAAAGTTAATTTGAAGAAAAGAATTCTAAGAGCAATGAGGCAAAAGCATCAAATAACTTACAAAAGTGAACCTATTAGGCTAACCACAGACTTCTCAGAAGAAGCTCACACAGCAGTGTCATTCTGAACAGAGAAAAGTTGAATGCATTCCCGCTCAGAACTGGAACAGAGCAAGAATGCTCACTTTCACCATTCCTATTCACCATAGTACTGGAAGTGCTAGTCAGAGCAATGAGGCAAGAGAAAAATAAGTGTCCAAGTTGGAAAAGAAGAAATCTAACTTGGTATATTGACAATATGATCTTATACCTTAGAGAATCCTAAAGACTTCTTCAAAAGACTCCTGGACATAATAAATGAATTTGGTAAACTTTCAGGATACAAAATCATACACAAGTCAGTAGCACTGGTATACACCAATAGCAACCAAGCTGCAAATCAAATTAAGAACTCAATTCCATTTACAATAGAAACCAAGAATCTATAATACCTAGGAATATATATAACCCAGGAGGTGAGAGATCTTTACAAGGAGAACTATAAAACATTGATTAAAGAAATTACAGAGGACACAAACAAATGGAGAAACATCCCATGTGCGTGGATTGGAAGAATCAACATTGTTAAATGACCATACTATACAAAGTAATCTACAGATTCAGTGCAACCCATATCAAACTAGCAACTCCATCTTTAACAGAATTAGAAAAAGCAACCCTAAAATTCACATGGAACAATGGAACAAATAAAGAGGCAGAATAGCCAAATGCTAAGCAAAAAAGACAAAGCTTGGAGGCATCACATTACCTTGTTTCAAATTATATTACAAGGTTGTAATAACCAAAACAGCATGGTACTGGTACAAGAGCAGACACATGGACCAGTGAAACAATAGAGAATCAAAAAATAAACCCAAATACCTACAACCAACTGATCTTTGACAAAGTAGACAAAAACATACATTGGGGAAAGGATACCCTATTCAACAATTGGTGCTGAGAAAATTGGATTGCTACATTTAGAAAAATTAAACTTGATTCTTACCTCACCATATACAAAAATTAACTCAAAATGGATTAAAGGCTTAAATGTCAGTCCTGAAACTACAAAAATCCTAGAAGAAAACCTGGGAAAAACTCTTCTGGACATTGACTTAGGGAAAGAACTTACGGCTAAACCCCCAAAGCAAATGCAACAACAAACAAAAATAAATAAATAGAACCTAATTAAACTAAAAACTTACACACAGCAAAATAAATAGCAGAGCAAACAGGCAACCTACAGAGTGGGAGAAGATATTTGTAAACTATACATCTGACAAAGATCTAATATCCAGGATGTACAAAGAACCGAAACAAATCAGCAAGAGAAAGCAAATAGCCCCATAAAAAGTGGGCAAATGAACATACATTTCTCAAAAAAGATATATAGATGGCCAATAAGCATGAAAAAATGCTCAACATCACTAATTGTCAGGAAAATGCAAAATGAAACCATCATGAGATACCACCTTTTACCAATCAGAATGGTCATTGTTAAATTTAAAAAAAAAATGCTGGAAAAGGGAACACTTATACACTGTTGGTGTGAGTGTAAATTAGTATACCCTCTATGGAAATTTATAATGGAGATTTCTCAGAGAACTAAAAGTAGATCTACCATTTAATCCAACATTCCCCATTTTTGGGTATCTACCCAAAGGAACAGAGGTTGTTATATAAAAAAGACATTTGCACTCAGATGTTCATCGCCCCACAGTTCACAATTGCAAAGATGTGAAACCAACCTCAATGCCCATCAAATGATGAGTGAATAATGAAAATGTGGTGTGTACACTATAGAATACTGTTTAGCTATCAAAAAGATTGAAATAATGTCTTTTGCAGCAGCTTGGCTTAAATTGGAGAACTTCACCAAAGTGAACTAACACAGGAGCAGAAAACCAAACACTGCATATTCTCACAAGTGGGAGTTAAACTAAATATCTGCCACAACATAGAGATTAATATAATGGACACTGAAGACTCAGAAGGGAGAAGGTGGGAAGGAGTGGAGGGATGAAAAATCACCTGTTGGGTATAGTATGCACAGGCGGGGGTGGTGGGTACACTTAAAGCCCAGAGTTCTTCGCTACTATACAATGTAACCGCGCAACCAAAAACCACTTATACCCTCTTAATGCTAATGAAAGGGGAAAAAAACTGAATCATACATTGATAAATGTATAGGAATTATAATACTTGATTTGATTCATATATATGTTAAATTCATTGCTAAATGATTGCCATGTCATTTTTATCATGATTCTTTTTCCTTGTAATAGTTGGAAGCTTCCCTAGCTGCTGCCAAAAAACAGTTAGCAGATGAAACTTTACTTAAAGTGGATTTGGAGAATCGCTGTCAGAGTCTTACTGAGGACTTAGAGTTTCGGAAAAACATGTATGAAGAGGTAAATATGTATAATTTATTTTTTAAAGGAATGTAGTGCTCTGAAAAGTCTTTTTTATATCTTTATATGTAATTATATTTTGTTTCTGATTTTTTTCACAGAAATATATTAGATAAGGAGGTAATAGGTTTAGAAATGGGAAGAAATTGTTTAGGTAGATTATTCAAGGTACTGCTGCTAATAGGTTGCATTTAAGAACTCAAGCAGTTATTGTAAACAAATAAGATTTCACCTTATCTGACTTATAAAGGCTTGGTCACAGCAGCTAATTACTGTCACCATTTTGAAGCATTTGTTTTAGTTATCTATTTGGTTTTTTTTGGTTTTTTTTGAGTTGGAGTCTCACTCTGTCGCCCAGACTGGAGTGCAGTGGTCGCTCCCGGCCACCGCAGCCTGGACCTGCTAAGCTCCAGCGATCCTTCCGCCTCAGCCTTCCAAGTAGCTGGAACTACAGGCACACGCTACCACGCCTGGCTCATTTTTCGATTTATTGTAGAGATGAGGTCTCACCAAGTTGCCCAGGCGGGTCTCGAACCCGTGGGCTCAGGCAATCCACTCACCTCTGCCTCCCAAAGGCTCAAGATTACAGGCTGAGCCACCGAGCCTGGCTTTAGTTATCTATTTCTAACAAGTTACTTGAGAATTCAGCAACTTAAAACTACAGGCCTTTATGATCTTTCAGTTTCTGAAGGTCAGAAATCTGAGAGCTCCTTAACTAGACGGTTCTGTTTCTGGATCTCATGAGGTTGGTGTCCAGCTTTCAACCTGGGCTAGAGGAACATCTTCTGAGCTCATTCATGGGCGGGACTGTTGACGGGAGGCGTTGGTTCCTTGCCACAAGGTCTTCTCCATAGGGCTGCTCATGATGTGGTCTCCAAGAGCCATGAGAGAGGGAAATAAAGAGAGAGAGAGCATGTGCTGCCAAACCAGCAGCCACATTATCTTCAATAACCTAATCACAGAAGTTACATGCCATCACTTCTGCTTTCTGTTGGTCACACAGACCAGCCTTGATACTCTGTGGGAGGGGATTATACAAGGGTATGAATATGAGGCGGCAGCAATAGGGGGCCCTCTGGAAGTCAGGCTACTCACAGCATTTTTAGTTATGTATGAAGATTTTAAAATACAATTTCAAGCCTTACTACTGTGGTCAAGGGACAGAGACAAAACTGTTGCCAAACAGAGAAAGTAATAAAAGAAACAAAATTGAAGAGGGGATTATATATTTAGTAAACATTGAAGAGGGTTGGAATCAACCCAGGGTAGAGAGTAAACTGTTAATGCTTGCCTAATGTTTTTAGAAGTAGTGTTATTTTCAAAATAGTGACTAGCAATGACTTAAAAATAGAATTATTCTAGCAATTAAAAATTTCTTTAGGTAAAGGAAAAGTATTTCAGTGGACATCTGGTCACTTTTAAACAGTAATATTTAAGCAAAATAGGTATTGTTGGGGTAATGTGCACTGGACAAGCAGTTGATCTCGTACAGCCTCAGTCAGTTTCTTAAAATGCAATACTGATGCTGCTGTTTTTTCTTCAAGGAGTGGGAGGATCAAAGTGAAATATTCTATGTGAAATCTCTTTGTATACTATAGCAAATGCTGTCATGTAATTGTTACTAAGTATTGCTTTATAAAAGCAGATAGTTGTATATGAAGTTGACTTAACATTTTTGTTTTATTTTGTTAAAATTGTTCCTGATCTGTCATTACTTTTTTTTTTTTTTTTTTTTTTTTGGAGTCCGAGTCTCACCCTTGGTCGCCCAGTCTGGAGTGTAGTGGCACACTCACGGCCACTGCAGCCTTGACCTGCTGGGCTCAGGCCATCCTTGCGCCTCAGCCTTCCAAGTAGCTGGAACTACAGACATGAGCCACCATGCCTGGCTAATTTTTCTTGATTTATTGTAGAGACGAGGTCTCACCAAGTTGCCCAGGCTGGTCTTGAACCCCTGGCTGGGCACAGGTAGTCCTCTCACTTCAGCCTCACAAAGCGCTGGGATTATAGACATGAGCCACCTCACCTGGCCATTATTTATTTTTGATGTTGTGTTGTAGACAGCTGTGAGTAGGGTATTTTTTTCTTTGTAAGATCATTGGTTCTACATAAAGCAATACATTGAAAATGGCATTGATGAAAAGTAATTTAATATTTTTACAGTTTTTGGGTAGCATCTTTGAATTTGTACCTTTTGAATAATAGATTTTAAAATATTCCTCTTAATTTTTTTATGTTGAGAATATAATTCTATGCAATAAATATACCTAACTTCCTTATTATGAAGAGTTACAGAGGAAATAAAAAGGAGTGAAACAGGAGGAATAGGGAAGGGGATAGACAGGGCAAGCCATTAGTAGGTACTCAGTCTTTATTGAACTAAACCCTCTGTTTGCATGTTTTCACAATTTCAGTGTCATTGCTTCATGAAATAGATGTGATCTCTGGGAAGTTGCTAGCTGAACTAGAATTTGAATCTTTGTTTTCTGATATTTCTGATTCTTTCGTTGCAGTTTCCTTTGCAGAGAAAGATAAGGAAATGCTCAGAACAATGTGCAAAGATATATGAACAGCAACTTCAGTGGGTTATACCCCCCTCTTGTGGCGTCTTCAGTTATTGCTGCTGAAGACATCTATATTTTCATAGAAGTTTGTTCTTAGCCAGATTCTCCTGGAAAAGTGTTATTGAGACAGTTCCTTAAAACAGAGTTGAAGGATCATGACTTCTATTTCTATTCTTTAATAGTGACTTTTTCATATGTACTTGAATCAGTCAAGTAATACTGTTAATAAGATCCTGTATCAATTGATATTGGTAGCTTAATACCAGCTTCTAAAAGAAGTCATGTAAATTAGCTTGCCCTACCTGTGACTGTGGTCAAAAAAATAGTTTTATTACACATAAATCTTCTTTTGAATTTGTCCTGACTGGTGAGCTTAACTTCCTGTGTGTATTTTTTTTAGAGGTGTCCTTAAGTTGATGAAGGAAACAATTTAGAAAAATCATTAATATTTAGTGGTTAGTATAGTCTACAATCTAGCTCTCCATGATTACATGGTACTTTCATAAATAGCTATGCTCCTGAAAAGGAATAGAAAATTCCTAGGGCTTGAGATTTTACTGTCGTTAGTTCCATTTCACAAAGCTTCTCAAATAAAAACTAACAGACAAAAAAAATGTCTATTCACGTGGCTTCCCTAGCACAGACACGCTGAGGTTTTTGTATAAAACTTCAGATGACCCTGTTGTTACTCAGACTTGTACCAGTGTAGCCACGGTAAGTAACTTGCCTTTATGTCATTTCTTTTTTTCCCAGGAGATTAATGAGACCAGAAGGAAGCATGAAACGCGCTTGGTAGAGGTGGATTCTGGGCGTCAGATTGAGTATGAGTACAAGCTGGCGCAAGCCCTTCATGAGATGAGAGAGCAACATGATGCCCAAGTGAAGCTGTACAAGGAAGAGCTGGAGCAGACTTACCATGCCAAAGTGAGCACCCTCTTCAGGGACTTGTTAGAATGCCTATGGCTAAGACTTCCCTGTCACCGTGAACAGCATGGCATGACTTGATGTTTGTTTTGTTCTAGTTGTCCTAAATTATTCTTCATCTCCATGAATGTATAAAAAATTGATATTTCTTCTAAGTGCAGTTTTTTATAAATTAAATGTTACTAAAAATTATTAGAAGATAGTAGGGTCAAGTGCTATTTGAAACTTGGGAACAGTCAAGTTGCCACTGCCCAATCTTTTTATTAGCAGTGTTATCCTAGATATTGAAGGTTTACTGGACAAAATATTGAAAGCCCTTTACTTAGTAAGTAACTAAAGGTCAGAAAGACTTACGGTCATTCAAAACTTGTCAGCAAACTTCATGATGCTTTTCCTGTGTTTCATCAGCCAGTTATCAGCAGGTCTTAGGTTTGAAATACTTTAAGGTGAATCATGCTTCCTTATTTGTTAGTTCTAAGTTCACTAAATAAGACTGGCTGTGGTTTACTTCTTGTAGCTTGAGAATGCCAGACTGTCCTCAGAGATGAATACTTCTACTGTCAACAGTGCCAGGGAAGAGCTGATGGAAAGTCGTATGAGAATTGAGAGCCTTTCATCTCAGCTTTCTAATCTACAGAAAGAGGTAAGTAAGCATCTTCCCCTAAGAAGTTAGACTTGAAGGTCACATCCACCATGGGAGTCTACCTGCTTTGCTCTGTCTGATGTCACTCCTTCTTTAGTTTGTTCCAAATGATGGTATTATCTACCCTATGCTGGTTCTCACAGTGCTTTTCCAGATTTTTAAACTTTGTATTGCATAAACATTGTTTAAGCAGATAATTATTCCTAATTAATAGATTGCACAAAGCTAAGGGAATTATCCTTGAGGAAACAACATGCTCATTTATTTGCTGAGCTTACCCTGGAACCCAGGTTTTATGACCTATCATCTCTATAGATTACTATTCCCAACACATTCCTTTTTCATAACATTTGGAAACCAAAATAAAGACATGCAAAAACCCTTTGTGGGTGGTGCATGCTTTGTGTTTCTGGACAAATTCTCTTAGTGCTTAAACTACTTAATAATTAGACTCTTGGGAAATAGTTTAATTTGAGTATTCTATAAGAGTTTATTGACTCATTCATTCATTGGTATACCTAAGTGACAAATGGCTTCATTGCTGGCTGTGCTGACTGATTACCTAGCAGGACATGATGGTGTGCTTCAAATGCAGCTTTGACAAGCATGGATCCTGCTTCAGATCAGTTTCAGCCTAGGGTGATGTCAATATGGCTACAAAGTACAGCCATATGCACATTCAGAATGATTCAATAATTACTGCTCACCTTCATTACTTGGGAAGTAACTTTAGCTTATGTTTTTTCTTAAGGGAGGAAATGTTGTTTTAAGTTTCCCACATATAAATAAGTTTTATTTTTTTACTCTTGATTAGCCTTTTCTTTCTTCCTTTTGTCATTTTTAGTGAACTATTTTTCTGATTATAAAAATGAAGACATTTTTGCAGGAATTTAAAAAACAGCAGAAAATGTCACATAAAATAAGGCAATATAAACAAATTTAGTTAGCATGGACGTTTTTACATTGCCTGTCATGTGCTTTATTACTTTCAGCACACATTTTAAATTTATTTAGACCTATTTTGTCCTGATAATATTTTGAAGTTTTCATGTAACAGTAGAGCTGGAACGACCTTTTAGTTCATTCATTATAACCACAGATTTAGGTTAGTTTAATGTCTTATGTAAAGGTTGCAGGCTGATAAATTAGTTTCTCTCCTGGTTCCCAGTTTTTCCTTTTAGACCTCGCTTTCTTCAAATAATATTTTCTTTTAGGAATTTAACAGATGATCTTTTTTTCCCTTGCACTATTTGTCTTAGTCCTTTGGACTACTCTAACAAAATACTATAGATTGGTAGCTTATTAACAACAGAAATTTCAGAAGTTTATTTCTCATAGTTCTGTAGACTGGGAAGTCCAAGATCAAGGCACTGGCAGACTGAGTGCCTAGTGAGGGCCCATATCCTAATTTATAGATGATGCCATCTCGCTGTGTGGCCGAAGGGTGAATGAACTCCTTTGGTCCTGTTATAAGGACACTAATCCCAATCATGAGGGCTCACCATCCACCTATTAAAATCATCACTTTGAGGGTTAGAATTTAAACATGAACTTTGGAGGGATGCAAGCACTCATACTATATCACTATCTTAACAGGTACCTTTCCAAAAATAGACCTCTGTTCTTAGACTGAGTTGACATTTACTACTTTTCTCTGTTAGTAAGTCATATTCTGGTTATTGTCTCTCCCTCAATTTTATTTTTCCTTACCTTAGTTTTTATTTAGTTTATTTAATTAATTTATTTTTGGCTCCTGCTTAATCCACTTGATTTTTTTTTTATTTTCTTATTTTTTGAGTTGGAGTCTCACTCTATCACCCAGACTGGAATACAAGTGGCACGCTCCCGGCCACCGCAGCCTCGACCTGCTGGGCTCTGACGTTCCTTCCGCCTCAGCCTTCCAAGTAGCTGGAACTACAGGCGCGCACTACCATGCCCGGCTATTTTTTGATTTATTGTAGAGATGAGGTCTCTCCAAGTAGCCCGGGTGGGTCTCCAACCCTCGGGCTCAGGCAAAGCACTTCCCTCAGCCTCCCAAAGTATGGGATTACAGGCTGAGCCACCGAGTCCGGCGTCCACTTGATTTTTATTTGGTACAGATCTTCTCTTGAGATTGAGCTTCATTTTACAGATGAGGAGACCGAGACTTATCTGTTATTAAATAGCAGTGGGGTCTAAACTTAGTAGCTGTGTCTTCTGACCAGGTTCATGGCCATTTTTCTGTTTGCCTGTTAATTATATTTCCATTTTTGTAAGTTTTTTGTTAACCTCAGGGAGTGGTTTTCACATGATGTTAGGCAGGGTTCTGGGGGATTCCAGGAGCTCACTCCTTAACAAACAGAAGTACCGTACCCCTTTAGCCAGAACAATTTTAAATTTCTTTGTCTGGGGGAATTCTTTTCTCTGTTCATTGCTGGTAATAGAGTATATGATAAAGAATATATTTTGAGGAATATTTTTATTAGTTGATAAATTTTAGCCTTTGAAAAATCATTAAAAAGAAAAACATCTCTTAATATTTCTTATTGCATAAAATTTTAGTAGTATTTGTTGTCGAGTCATCAGTTTCATCATGTTGCCTGTTGGGTCATAAGAATTTCCTTTTGGTTTTATGACTCACATTAGTGAGTACTTCTTTAATTTTACTTAAAATTAACAGCCCTTAAAATACTGAGTTTAGAAAATATATTTAATATATAGATGATAGCAGTATTTTGTTGTGGAGTTAGGAATTTTATGCACTGCTTATATATAGCATTTCTAGATTTTTTTACCTTGGCCAAATTAATTGGTTGGTTAGAGAAGAGTACAGTGTTGCAATGAAAAACACCCCTAATTTTTGTTTTTCCAACATCCAGACTCTGGAAATTTACTGCAGCTGGAGCATAATAAACAGTACAGTTATGTTACATGCTATAAAAAAGAATAAAATCAAGACTATTAGAAGTCATAAAATTTTAGAGTTAGAGGCAGAATCTTAGAGATAGTCTAGCTAGATCTCTTTACTTTGCAAACATGGGAACTGGTTTAGTGAGGTTAGTTACAGCTTGCCAGGAGTCTCATAGGCAGAATTGAGAAAGAGAACATGGGTCAGACTTCTCATATCGTGCTCTCGTATTCACTATACAACAAGCAAAAGTACACTTATTTAAAATGCAAAAGGATTCAGAATAACTTTAAAACTATTTGTTTATTATTATTTTAGAGATAAGGTCTTGTTCTGTTGACTAGGCTGGAGTGCAGTGGCGGGATCATAGCTTAATGCAACTTTGAACTCCTAGGCTCAAGCAATCTTTCTGCCATAGCCTCCTGAGTAGCTGGGACTATAGGCACGTGCCACCATACATGGCTTTTTTTTTCTTTTTCTTTTTCTTTTTTTTTTTTTTGAGTCTCATTCTGTCATCCAGGCTGGAGCAGTAGCATTTTCATAGCTACCACAGCCTTGATCTGCTGGGCTCAGGTGATCCATTCATCTTAGCCTTCCAAATAGCTGGAACCACAGGCACATACCACCACACCTGGCTAACTTTTTTTGGTTTTTTGCTCAGGCTAGTCTTGAACCCCTGGATTCAGGCAATCCTCTCACCTCAGCTTCTCAAAATGCTGGGATTATAGGCATGAGCCACTGTATGCAGTCACCTTTAAAACTTTTGTACCTAGATAATTAATTTTTTCCTTTTAAAGAACCCTACAACATCAAAGGTGTCATATATAGGTATCCTGGGGTTTACAAATCTGGACTCACAGTCTTGGATAGTTTGTCTCATCAACTCTTTTAGATTTGCCCATTCCGTCCTCTACCTCCGACGTGTGAGATAAAATGAAGAGATTGAAGAGGAGGCATTTGAAAAGTATGTTATTGTTTTTCTTTTGGAGAAAAGAAAATATAAGAAACCTGAAGGAAAAATAAATTTCTCCATTTATAACGTAATTTTTGCTAATGCAGTTAAATGCAAATACTGAAGCATAAGAACTACCTTTGTAATATCCATCTTAAGAAGAACACCTGTTTGTACTATGCAATGTGATTTGCTATTCTATAATTTAATTAATTGATTGATCAATTTAAAAAAATTTATGTGTGTGTGTCATCTAGACCCTCCAACCAGAATAAGTTCAGAGTGTCTCCGGATCAATTATTTTTTAAATATTCTTTTTGTTTTGTTATAATGTTGGATTTACAGAAAAGTTGGCAGAATAATCTAGTCAGTTCTCATTTATTTCTCATCCAATTTTCCTCATTTACATTAAATCCTCTACATGCTAACAAGTTCTGCTTCAAAAGCATGTTCATAAGCCCAATTTGTTCATAAGTCCAACAAAGTTAGCCTAGATACCCAACTAACACAATTGGCTATTTAGTACTGTACTGTAACAGGTTTGCAATACTTTTCACACATATAATATAAAGATACTGTACTCATGTACTCTTTATAGTACTATACAGTAAAGTACATGAAAGCACAAACACTTGTAGAGGATGCACACACATGATAGTGTACACCAGACACGTCAACTAACTTACATTATTGGACATATGAATGCACATTTGTATCTTTGAAAGTTCATAACTTGAAGGTTCATATGTTGGGAGCTTACTGTATTAACATCTTAAGTTACCTTGGAACATTCGTCCAAACTAAGCAACTGATATTGGTATATTGCTATTAACTAGACTCCAGGCTATTTGAATTTCACCAGTTTTTCTATTATTATTTTCCTGTTCCAGGGTACCACTTGCCTCTCAGACTTTTCTTTGCTTTTTTTTTGCCTTGAGTCTTGAGTAGGATTGTACAGGTGTTGTGCTTTTCACATGATTAGATTGAGGTTATGGGTTTTAACTGTCTTGTCCTGTCACATCATATCATGTTGCATGTATGTGATATCCACTTGACATCACTGGTGGTGTTTGATTAAGTTAGTATTTGTCAGGTTTCTGCATTGTCAACAAAAATACTATGTTTTCTTTCCATATTCTTTCCGGTTCTCAAGTGTGAAGGGCAGGAGTTAAACTCCACATCTTGGAGTAGGATCTACATTTATTACATTAAATTCTTTTGTAAAGATGTCTTTTCTTCCCTGTTTGTTTTATATTAGCATGGACTCATGGGCATTTACTTTATACTTTGAGTTATAAGCTAATGCTGTGTTGTTTATTTTATTTGCTCAGATTGTTTCACCTTTGGCCAGTAGGAGTTCTGTCAGATTGACTACTGTATCTGTTGTGTTGTTTTCAGAGCACTTCATTACTTTCTGGAACCAGAATATTCTCTAGGCTCATCTTGTATTTTCTCTGCCCCAGTTCTAGAATCTTCCATTTCTCCATGGAGTCCTGGTTCCTTTTATTGGAGGATGGTATATAGCAGTTAGGATCTGCCGGGCTTGGTGGCTCAGCCTGTAATCCCAGCGCTTTGGGAGGCTGAGGTGAGTGGATTGCCTGAGCCCACGGGTTCGAGACCTGCCTGGGCAACTTGGTGAGACCTCATCTCTACAATAAATAAAAAACTAGCCCGGTGTGGTAGTGCGTGCCTGTAGTTCCAGTTACTTGGAAGGCTGAGGTGGAAGGATCGCCAGAGCCCAGCAGGTCGAGGCTGCAGTGGCCAGGAGCAGCCACTGCACTCCAGTCTGGGTGACAAAGTAAGACTCCAACTCAAAAAAAAAAGAAGTTAGGATCTAGGCACTGAGTGTGCTTATTGGTACTGGGGTGTCACTGCTTCTCAGCCTTCTCATGGGCAAAACTAGGTAGTATATTTACGTATGTCAACCCATGTTTTTTTCCGTCTTAACCATATGTATTTTTTTTTCCTGTCTTAATCATATGTATTTTTTTTTCTGTCTTAACCATATGTATTTGTATTAAGCTGACCAGGAATTCATACCGATGTCTCTGGCTTGACTCTAGTGGTACCACGGGATTAGTTTTTGGAGTCTTTTCTGACTTATCAGTAACTTTTCTCTGAAAGTGAAAAACCTGGTTTTTACGAACATTCCTTTACTTATTTGTCCAGTCCCAGTATATGTTGAAGCAGTTTCAAAACTTTGAACCTGTGCCCCATGAGAAGCAAATTTACCAATAAGAGGGCAGTGTTTATGTACAATGTTTAGTTTCTTTTTATCTCTAACCTTCCAGATTTAATTTTTGCACAGTAGGTGCCCTTTGTCTCCTGCTCTGTGCAGCTACTTGTGATTCTGAGGGCCTAAGCTATCCATCAGTCTTTTTGAGTTGATTACCCTTGTCATTTTCTGAGGCTACTGAGATGAATTCTGTCATGGAGAAACACAGAAGAATAATTACCTAGTGAGCCACAGGTTTCTGAGATGAACTTTCTGGTGTAGAGTGTGTGATTTTTCATTTTATGCCAAATGTAAAGCTTCTGTACTTACAGTAATACGTTACAAATCACCCTTTCTGGTATGTCCTTTGTGTGCTAATTGAGCATGAGATGGCACAGCAGTCTGAAGGACACTATGCTGTGCCTTCCATGTAATAACCAAAATCCCTTTTCTTGGGCTTTTAAATATTCCTCAGTGATTCTCCAAAACGTGCTTTCATCCATTCTTAGGTTTTTTTTCTGTCAATGAGTTTTATATCTCTTTAAGTTTGTTATGTTAATAATTTCTACATTTTGAAGCAAAGACCCTGTAGGGGAGCTGAACTTGACTTTTACTAAAACCACAGCCTAAAAAAATTTACTTGGTCAAATACAGAAAAATTATATGCACATTTATAAAACTTATATTTGGGGATTATTTCTTCTTTTAGTCTTTTATTAGCTAAAACTTTTCTAAAACCTGTATTTTGTATTTGAGGAATTTTGGGTTTGATTTCTTAAAATCAGAGTCTCTTGAGTTATAATAAGTTAGAGATTCCATAGAGTTTTATTTGTTTCCCAGTCCCGGAAACGGTTTAAAATAGCGGCCTTGTGCTAATGTTGAAATGTTCCTAGAAAGTAAAAGTGTTTCCTTGAATCTTAAGTCTAGAGCACATTTGGAAAGGATTCAAGAGTTAGAGGACTTGCTTGCTAAAGAAAGAGACAACTGTCGTCGCATGCTGTCTGACAAAGAGAGAGAGATGGCGGAAATAAGGGACCAGATGCAGCAACAGCTGAATGATTATGAGCAACTTCTTGATGTAAAGTTAGCCCTGGACATGGAAATCAGTGCTTATAGGAAACTCTTAGAAGGTGAAGAAGAGAGGTAAGGAACTTGAGGATCGCCCTACCTTACGGTCTACTTTTTGCTACTCACCCTTTTTATTTAAAGAAAAATAAGTAGGGACATTTTTTTAAACAGTAAAGACAACTTTAAATATTTTCTCTGTCATTTTTTAATACCTAGATATAGAGGTAGTAGATCATATTTCTCCCTCAACAACAGAAAGTTTGGTCAAGCAGTTTTTAAATCTGGTTAGTGTATAAATTCTTATGACACCTATTTTTATAAAATAATTCCAAAAGGAAAATGACTGATTTGGATAAAAAGTTAATCAATTTCAATACATTGTGGTCACAAAATGCAGATAAAGCTGTGGTAGCTCCTGCCCATACTGCCAATGGTTTGAAAGGCAGAGGTAGGAGGATGCTTGAGTCCAGGAGTTTGTGACCAACCTGGGCAACGTAGTGAGACCCTCATTTCTATTAAAAAAAAAAATTTAAAAATTAGCCAAGTGTAGGGGCATATGCTTGTAGTCTCAGCTACTTGGGAGGCTGAGGTGGGAGAATTGCTTGAGCCCAGGAGTTTGAGGTTGCAGTGAGCTATGATTGTGCCACTGTACTCTAGCCTGTGTGATGGTGAGACCCCAACTCTTTAAAAAAACAAAAAAAAAAACAAAAAACTCCAAGCAAACAAAAAAATAAAATGGCAGGTATGAAAAGAGAAAAAGTACACTAATGGTAATGGTGGTTGTGGGAGTGGGAGGAGTGGTAGATGGGATGATCCCCTACCCTGTTTTCTAGACTCCTTACATTATAGTCATATTACTTCCATTCCTAGAGAAAGCAGTCAAATTATTTCTTTCTTTTTTTTTTTTTTGAGTTGGGGTCTCACTCTGTCGCCCAGACTGGAGTGCAGTGGCCGCTCCTGGCCACCGCAGCCTCGACCTGCTGGGCGCCACCGATCCTGCCACTTCAGCCTTCCAAGTAGCTGGAACTACAGGCGCGCGCTGCCACGCCCGGCTGATTTTTTATTTATTGTAGAGATGAGGTCTCACCAAGTTGCCCAGACGGGTCTCAAACCCACGGGCTCAGGCAGTCCACTCACCTCAGCCTCCCAAAGCGCGGGATTACAGGCTGAGCCACCAAGCCCGGCTAAAATTATTATTTCTTAAAAAGGTAAATAGATGGTAGACACCCTAGCCTAAATAAGTTTATCTTCATTAAGATGTACATTGGTTTTGTCTAACAGATCATGAGTAGTGTTCAGCTTTAGAAATGCATGTGCAGTATATATATACTTTTTTAAGGCAAGAAGGGTATTTGTGTTTCATAAATGGAATGTTTTATTTTTCCCATGTAGATTGAAGCTGTCTCCAAGTCCCTCTTCCCGTGTGACTGTCTCCCGAGCATCCTCAAGTCGCAGTGTGCGTACAACTAGAGGAAAGCGGAAGAGGGTTGATGTGGAAGAATCAGAAGCGAGTAGCAGTGTTAGCATCTCTCATTCTGCCTCAGCCACTGGAAATATTTGCATTGAAGAGATAGATGTTGATGGAAAATTTATCCGCTTGAAGAACACTTCTGAACAGGTAAAAGAAAAAAAAAAAAAAAGACCTATTTTTTTTTTCCCAGCAAGGCTTTGCAGATTACTGGGCTATCTTGCAGTTATAATATCTCCTTAGTTTTTATTTGGATTCAATAAGTCTTCATGGAATAAAGGTTTTTGATCCCCCTTTTTAGTTAAATGCATGAAGTAAAGTGAAAATTAAAATAGGAGGAGGATAGTGGTATCTTTAGTGGTTTAAAGATTTTCTTCATTAACCCTTCTTTACAGAGCCAGGGCTTTAAACAAGTTCATTTTATCACAGTGGTTTTTCCAAGGATGAGTTATTACTACTCTCTGCCCTGGTCAGATTTGTGAAAAAGTTGGAGTGGTTGGATGAAATGGTAGATACTCTTTTACAACAATTAACTTTAAAAAAAGCTTTGTGAAAGGAGGAATATGAACCCAGACTCAGATATATTAAGGGAGTATTTTTCTCTCCAGATGAGTGAATGGATGAATGCTGATGGTTTATTTCAAGAATGGAGTGAATCTCTCTCTTGAAATTGTTTATTTAAGAGTAAATGTAAAATATTCATAGCAGAGGTTTCTGAAGTTAGGGCTGGGGCTTTCAGGAGCTCAGTAGTGAAGGAGTCTATCCACCGGAGGGCAGTGGGATGGATGCTTTTCTTACCAGATTTATTGAAACTATCTTGCATTAATATAAATTAATCTGAATAAACAAAGAAACACTAGCACTTCTGAGATGAAAGAGAATAGGCTCTAAGGTCTTATCACAACTTTAAAAGCTAAAGGACAGAGTGGCTCCAGCTCTATTGCTTCATTGTTGTAGTTCTGCTTTTTTCAAAAGGCATATAGCTCTTGGGTATGAAGATATTCTGGAGCTGATTCTCAGTCTGGTTTTTTCTTGTCTTTGTGTTAGTGATAGATAGATATAAGTTAGTTTGGCTGATTGCTTTAATATGCTGCACTTTTCTTGAGATGTCATGTAGCTCTCAGTAGTGCTGGGGGTAGAGTTGAAAGCTGTCCCTCATAGCATCACTGACCCCTTTTGAACCCTTTAAGCTTTAAGGTAAGAGATGTAAATGTGGGCAGAAGTGGGACAGGTGCACAAAGGAATGGACAGATTTTCTTCTTTCTGTTTCTAAGCTTAGATGTCTGTATTTTAAAAGCTTGAAGCCATCAAATACTAGATGTTTATAATTGTGAGTATGGCAGCTAGATTGTGTTGTAAATTTGAAAGATCCACCTAATCTAGCTGTGAATATGACAATTTAATTGGCTTATACTCTTTCCTTCCAGTTTTGTCCTCTTTAAAATTAAGAACCTTCTAATTAACCACAGCACTGTTGAAGTTACTATTCTACTGAATGAAAAAATCATGTTTTCTTTTTATAGTAGGAAAATATGGATCATGGGAAGACAGCCATAAAGCAGCCTTCGTTTAATTGCTTATATGGATTCATTTATTTGATTATTCCATAATTTTTTGTATCTTTGAAGTAACCTTGGTTTGTTGTTGTTTTTTAAATTTTGGTATGAATAGGATCAACCAATGGGAGGCTGGGAGATGATCAGAAAAATTGGAGAAACATCAGTCAGTTACAAATATACCTCAAGATATGTGCTGAAGGCAGGCCAGACTGTTACAGTAAGTGAATTTAGTGATCACTTAATTTAACTTCATTGTCGCAACTAACGGATAAAGTAATTCAAAAAAAAGTTTGACTTAAAGGGAAGCATTTTAGAAGTGAGCATTAAAACAGATATTATTAGGACATTACAAGTGCTATTAAAGATTTTTGAAAATTCCATCTTATTGAGAGTGGTAAAAGAATTGACCTTTGAGTTATTTTTATCTTGTCTGTTCCAGTAGATATAAAATAGCTATCTCTTAACTGATACTTGTAGCCCAGTGTCATTCAGGAGACACTGCTTGGCATAAAGGAGCTGGTAGGAAGTTAACACTAGCCTATGCCTAAAACAGTAGTCTTCAGCCATGGGTGAGCTTCATGATCATCTGGGTAGTATTATGGTATCTTGGCCCCACCTCACCCTTAGCTGTCTTTGGGGTTGGGGTAGGAATCTATATTTTGAACAAAAGTTTTTAGATGATAAGCAGCCTCATAAAGAGTCACTGCTTTGAAACAGGATATTTTAGGAAGAGTAACGTGTAGTTTTTGCAAAGTATCTAAAGTTCTAGATTCAGAGAAAGATAGGCTAAGTGGTATTCTGACTCTATCTTGATATCTAAATGGTTCTCTATTGGTATGTGCTTTAATAGTTACTGAAATACTATTAGCTCACTTTTTGGAGAAGCTATGCTTCATCGAGCAAACCAAAAGATTCCTTTATTTTTACTTTGTAAGTAGATTTAACAAATGAAGAAATATAGCAAAGGTAGAAATATGTTAACTCTGATATAGATTTCAAAGAAGGCACTTTTCATTTTAAAAAAATACTAAACACATGTTTTAAATGTTTATATTTTATGATTGATGCAAACCTTGCTTATTGTTTAAGATCAAAGGCTCAAACTGCAGGTTAGAATTTCTTTTTTAAAAAGTGTATTCAGAGAGCTTGATGCCACTTTGTGAAAATATCAGATGCTAATTTTGTAATAATGGGTAAAAAATGGGATCAACTATTCTCACTACAGTAACCTTTTTTCTCCTTAGTAATTATTATAGTGAGAGAAAATTGCTCAGTCCTATTATATGTCTTGGAAGCTGTATAATGTGGTAAAAAGAATCTGATATTTTAATTCAAAAGATTGAGATTTGGATGTACACTCTATTTCTAAAGTAATATGGAGCCATTATGCCAATCTTCTGCTTTTTCCACTGGGAATACTACTGAAGGGATGAAATAAATTCTGTAGGTCTAGGGGAGAACTCAATTATCAAATAATGTAATGCATTTTTTTTTCCTTCAGTAGCAAGCATTAAATGTGATAAGCTCTTTGGAATATGGTAGTGATAAGTGATCTTTCTGTAAAACTGCAGGGACAAAAGCAAAGATCGGTTTAAAACTCTAGAACAGAAATTGAGAACCACATGTAATTTTAAATTATCTTACAGCTACATAAAAAGAAAGGAAAAAAGGAAAACATGAAATTTGTTTTAGAACCAATTTTATTTAACCCAATATATCCAAAATATTATTGCTCCAACATGTAACTAGTATAAAGTCTTACTAGTTAGGTATTTTACATTCTTTTTTTTTTAACTGAGTCTTCTAAATCTGGTGTATTTTATCCTTCTAGCACACCTCAATTAAGACTTGTCACGTTTTAAGACCACCTATCATTGCCATATTGAACAACACAGCTGTAGTTACCCAGCAAGGATATTGACATTTTATGATGATGATGATTAACATTAAACCAATTATATGATTACATATAGGCTGGTTGCAATTAGGAAAATGCTAACATTCTGCATAATTTAAAAGCCCAGGTCCAGTTTTGTTTTGTTTTTTCCAGTTTCATCCTAGTAAGTGCTCTCTGCTCCTTTCCATTTGTAATGCTGATGGAAGGTCTATAAGCTTCAAGGGAACATCTGAAAAATAAGGGTTCTTTCTCCTAATCAGTAATTCATAGCTTTTTCTCCCTATTTTAAAACATACCTGCCTTTGCCATCTCCTGCTTTCCTTTTGCAATCATAAAGCATTTTATATTGCGGAATAATTTATGGATTACAAACTTTTCTACTTTATCTATTTTAATGTGACCTTTCTAAAGGATCAGGGCTGGTAGTGTAGTGCCCCTGCAGCTGAGAGGACATTGAGGCTCACAGAGATGTAATAACAGTCTGGATTCAAACCTAGGTTTTCCAACTGCCAAGTTTTCTCCATTCTACCCATTCTTTTTTGCCAATGGATACAGAAGAAGAATTTACGTGCTCATGAGAAGGAAAATATAATTATTTTCTTTGTTTGGCTAATTTCAATAGCAATTATATTTTCCCTTGGACAGTGAGTGTGAGTTATCTACTTCCAGCATTTTTTTTTGGAGTGTAATCTCAGATATTCTGGGGTACTGTGACACTGTGTCTGATTACAGACATATCAGTTTCCATAAAAGTATTCTAGATAGGCTGTTTGCTGCAGAAGATCTCCTCTGCTTTATTAGAAGGGTTCAGAAGACTGTAACATGGAAGGATGACCCATAAAACTCATAGAATAGTAGAATGCTATGGCTGCTATTCATTGAGCGCGCCAACCTCTATATATGTCGGTAATTCCTTGCACTTCACAACAGTCCATCCTGTTATAAGTACCATTTCTACCCCGTTTTATGGATGGCTGAAGTAAGGTAACTTGTTCAAGATCCGCTGGTATATGGAGGAGCTAGGATGTAAGTATAGGCAGCTGCACTTAAGGGCCCTGTGCATCATTTTCATTTGTCAGATGGTGAAACTGCAGCCTTGGGAAGCTGAGTTCTCTTGGACACACAGCCAGTTAGTATAGCACTCTGTAGCTGAGACATGGTTCTCAGACTTTCAGCATCAAATGTTAAATCTCATCATGTTGCTGCCAATGGCATGTGGAAGAGCTGGATTCCAGATACACTCATGTCCTTTCTTTTTTCCAGATTTGGGCTGCAAATGCTGGTGTCACAGCCAGTCCTCCCACTGACCTCATCTGGAAGAACCAGAACTCGTGGGGTACTGGCGAAGATGTGAAGGTTATATTGAAAAATTCTCAGGGAGAGGTATGGTCATTTTATCAGTACCACCACAATGTCAGTTTTACCTGATAGGATGTACTCGCTGTGCATGTATGGTTTCTTTTTAGAGATCAGATGGAAATATGAAATAACTAATTACTTAAACAGACCAAGGCTGCTAAGTAAATCAAACTGAAGCTCCTTCAAAGTTTTAGGAATAAATAGAAGTGTTTGATAGACTGCTGATTATTAGTGCAGGCTCCAGAGTTGTTAGTGTCCAGTTACTGTCTTCACTGCATTCTGACTTTGTGACTTTGTGCAAGTTACTTCACCTCTCTTAGTTTTCTTATTTAAAAATGGATATTAATGAAGCAGTTTAAATGAGACAATCCTTGGGAAATGCTTGCAACAGGATCTGGCATAGTACATTTATGCAGTAAATGCTTATGTTACTAACCTTGTTATCAGCTCTCAGTGTTCATGAAACTGTGAGTTTGAAGATTGTGGAATGTACATCTGCTTGGTGTGTAGGTTTTCTGCATGTCAGTCTTAAGGATTCTTATCTTAAGGATTCCCTCCCCCCACTGCTATGTAATGACTATACATGCACACACACACACCCTGCCAGTTTGAGTTTTAGAAATGCTACTTCTTTTTATTACTACTTTTATTAAGAAACTAAAGTCTGCTTTGAAGTGAGAAAACATGGCTTCCTCCCTGTCTTTCCCTAGCAAATCACCTTATCCAGGTGCTGTAACACAACATCACCAAGCCTCTGTTAGAATTTGAGAGTCCTTCCTTCTTTGCTGCTGTTGCCATAAGCATGTTAACAGCTTGTATTACGAGTTCAGAATGGCTTACAAATATGGCTCTCATTTTCCTCTTAGTTGTAATGCTACATCTTCACCCTTAGTCTGTCATGGGAGCTCTGAGATGGCTCGCGTGGAAGCCATAGTTCATATCTGGTTCTGACATTCTTACTGGTTCTGACCTTCTCACCCAGCCTCCAGCTGGCAGGCTTGGCTGTTCATACCTTACAGCATGGCTGGGTATGCACTTCAGTCTGAGTGATGCTGCAAGGAGATACATAGGAGAATGATATGGGAAGCTATGGGAATGATAGGGAAGCTAGCCATATTTGTAAGTGCAGGGCAATTCATTTGTTTGGAAAATCCTGAGCATCTACTGTGCCGACTTAGGATTATAGCAGGAAAGAAGCCTGTCTTGGTTTCTGGCATCATAGAATTTACATTCTACAGTGAATGGGGAGGGCCAGGAAATAAGATAAAGCAAGAAGAGAATTTCAAATAAATGCAACAGAGATAAGCTGTGGTGTCATGAAGAGTCACTGAGGAGATCTTACATTAGGTAGGTAGTCAGGGAAGTTAGCCTGGAGGAGGTGTATAAACCTGAAAGGTGAGAAAGAGCCAGCCATTGAGAGAACAGAAAAGGTAGAGGACACAGAGAGTCAAAGATCCCGAGGCAGGAAAGAGTCTATGTTTTAAAGGAAAGGAGGCTAGTGTGGCTATGGACACTGAGAGCAGGACAGGAGGACTCGGCCCCAGCTGCTGATTGTGTAGGTTCTGGTGAGAAGTGCAGATCTTATTCAGAGTGTGGGGGTTGTGGGGCTACTGGAGAGCAATATGCTAAGATGAACAGAGTGAGGAAGCTACTGTGTGGATTGTAGGGGTCAAAAACAGGCAGAGACAAAGCAACCAACAGAGTAACTTAGACAGAGATGGTTTTCTAGGTAAAAGAAAAGTGAACAAGGGAAGGGAGATTTTAGATGTAGGTTTGATAGGATACTAATAGGGTTAAATGTGAGGGATGAATGAGAGGTGGGAGTTAAGTTGGCCCTGTGTTTGTTTGCTTGGGTAGCTGGGTGGTCCTGGAACTGTTTACTGAGAAAGCTATAGGACGAAGAGCAGGCTTGGTGGGAAGAAGGGTTGGGAAGGGAATCAGAAGGCCTCTTCTGGCCATAGTAAGCTTGAGATGCCGTTAGACATCCAAGTGACCAAGTGACAGTGTCCAGAAGGCTGTTGGAGTGTTTACTTGAAGCCCAGGTGAGAGAGGCTGGGGAGTTTCACCACATAGGTGATATTTAAGGTTATAGGACTGACTGACTAGCGTTTGTCAGTAAAGGAGAGAAGAGGATCCAGAATTGAGCCTTAGAAAATGTTGACATCAGGAGTAAGTTACAGTAAAGGGGTGGAAAGTGCAGCCAGTGAGACAGGAGTAAAACTGAGTTGTGGTGTCAGGAAAGCCAGGAGGAGAAGAAAGTGTTTGTGAAGGAGGAATGGTCAGTAGGTCAGGTTGCAGCCCCTCAGGGCTCCTTTTCTATGCCCATACTGCTGGGCAGACCTCTTACCTGCATGGTGCTTGTCGGGTTCTCCTTGCTCACTAGAGGAAGCACACAGGGCTGTACTGATCGATCCTGGCATCGTGCCTAATGATCTGTTGTGTTGCTTCTCCCCGGGTTGCCTCCCTTGTGGGCACAGGATAGCTGCCAGCTGCTCCCAGAAGTGCACCATTCCTACTTACCATCTTTGGAAAAGGGGATCTTCCCCTGCAAAATCCCCATCCTGAGCTTCACGTTCTTTGCACCAGCTTGGTTGTCTGCCTGCCTCTAAGCCAGTTCCTGGAGCTTGAGCTTTCTTCCTCCCCTCACAACTAGAGTGCATGGGGTTCTCATGACACGTGCACTCCATGTGACACACATGTGTGCTCCATGGAGGGATGAGTACCCAGGTAAAACTGAGCTTGTATCAAGGCATATGAGAAAGGGGCACTGGGTGGTTAAAAACAGCACATATCATCATGGCAAAATAAGATGTTTTCCTGTGAAGGAAATAAAAAGTAAAGCAGTCCTTTCAGACCTTCCAGAATGTAGATATATCTGAAACTTGTCTATGCAAATGATTACTTATATATAGAGATGCAATCTATAATATATAAACAATTGGCTCTCCAACAAAGAATCACCCTAATGTGTGACATTTTCTTATTTCTGTGGTGCAAATACTCCCACCATGGCTGATTTCTGGCTTCCACCATGTATGACTGAAGAGCTATGAAACAGATGAGCACAATCGGCAGGCGCAGCTGGCTTCAGTCTGCTCCTGGGTAGCTTAGTACCTTCACATGCCCAGGCTTTGAGCAAGGGCAGACCAGTAACATGTTCTAGAGAAAAAGGAAAGCCTGTTGTGGAAGACCATCTCATGATGATTGAGATTAGGGTAAGGTTCCTTCCTGAGAGGATTTGGGGCGGGGCAGGAGGGATAAAAACATTTATCTGGTAGCATCTTGACTGATTCCTGGATCTAAACCTCTCAAAAACTTTTGGTTTCTAAATTATTGTTTATTATTATTTTTCCATCCAGATTTTTAGTCATTAACTTGCTCATTTTCCATACTGGCTTTCTACATTAGATTAATTGGCCTTTAAATGTTTTCAAATGAAAAGTGCTTAACAGAAAGCTTATATTAAAAGTAGTTACGTCGAAGTAATTCATAATGAATGAAGCTGGGCAAGTTGCTGTTTTCTTTTTTTTTGCAAATTAAAAGAAATGTATTTGCTAAGAGATAGGAACATTGTGCAGGTACAAAAACAGCAACAATACATACTATCCATTCAAGTTGCTGTTTTCTAAAATCTTCTCACTGAGGCTAGTACTCTTAAGTTACATTGCAAACCTTAAGAGCAGTGTTAGCATGTGGGATGTGTGCACTGTCCCTAGCTAGCAGCTGCTGCGAGAGAATTCTGTTAGAGATAATTTTCTTTGACTCTTCTTTCCTCATTTTTGGATGAGTTGAGAAAAGCTGAGTACTCTCAGCTTTTTGAGAATTTTTTTTCATTCTGTATGCTGCTATCTTCTAGTTGATATCTTGGCTCAAGGAATGAAAGTTTTAAAAAAAAAAACTTTCTTTCAACTGGGCTCGGTGGCTCAGCCTGTAATCCCGCACCTTTGGAAGGCTGAGGTGAGTGGACTGCCTGAGCCCGTGGGTTCCAGACCTGCCTGGGCAACTTGGTGAGACCTCATCTCTACAATAAATCAAAAATGAGCTGGGCGTGGTAGTATGCACCTGTAGTTCCAGCTATTTGGAAGGCTGAGGTGGAAGGATCGCCGGAGCCCAGCAGGTAGAGGCTGCAGTGGCCGGGCGCGGCCACTGCACTCCTGTCTGGCAGACAGAGTGAGACTCCAACTAAAAAAAAAAAAACTTTCTTTCAGTGGTTTTATGGGGTACAAATGATTTTTGGTTACATGGATGTCTTGTATAGTGGCGAAGAAGTCTGGGCTTTAAGTGTTCCCTCAACCCCCACCTGTGCACGTTATACCTGATAGGTGATTTTTCCTCCTTCCCCAGCCTCCTCCCCCTTCTGAGTCTTCAGTGTCCATTATGCCTTCTATATGCCTTTGCGGTTCATTAGTTTAGCTCCCACTTATAAGTGAGAACATACGGTGTTTGGTTTTCCGTTCTTGCATTACTTCATTTAAGATAATGGTCTCCAATTCCATCCAAGTTATCACAGAAGACATGATTTCAAAGAGTAGTAATTGATCTTAGGAATCATATTCTATTTTATTATTACTAATTTGGTGTTTCAGAAGTGGAGTTCCTGGCTAATTAGAAACCCAGAATGGCCCATCTTCCTTGGTTCTGCAGCGGAGATAAAAAAAAACAACAAAAAACCTCACAAAAAATTCTTCTACCACTTTACTTCATTTACAGAGCATATCCTTGAACATATTTCAGATATTGACATTAGGTTTTGGTTTTCTTCCTCTGCCATTTTAAACTAGCTGTTCTGTGTTAGATAAACTTTTACTGAAATAATTTCAGTATCTTCCTCTGTGGAGTTATCTTTCTTAAGTGACCTTAGGACAAGCTACAGAATAAAATTATATGCCCTGCAGCACTCTCAAGGACACACTCATTACTTGCTGCCACATCGTCAGGTTAGCCTTGTGCTTAAACAAAAACGCTGCCGCGTCTGTGCCACATCAGCATTTTCTACAGGCAAGTAATCTGTACTCGAGCCTTTTTGTCGAAAATGGAAATAGTTACTTTCTGTCATACCTCTAGTGAGTGATAGGCGATCTCCTTCTGTGAAGAATACATTGGGCCTCACTAGTATGTTATTAGGAAGTGGTGTTCATCTGTCTTGATTCCATTTCACAAGAGGAATCAGTCATTGAAGAAATGAAAGGAACTTGTCTTTTCATCTTACTCATCGGGTGATCCTGTTGCCCAGGGTCCCTGAGATCACAACAGTTGGCTTCCAGCTTCATTTTATTTAGCATTTATTGAGCACCTTCTCTTTGCTAGGAGCTAAGATCTTTAAGTTAAATTCATGTTGAGTTGTATAAAGAATTTAGTATGCCAAATCATTTGCAGAATTCTTAGTAACAGAATGGGATAAAAAGCAGTGGAAACTTCTCAGCAGGTATTTCAAATTGGCTACCAGTACCTCCCCCACTGGAAATGAACTGCTACTAATTATTGTAGAGATTCCAGTTCAGAAGTTAATGATGGAATTACTTTAAAAAAAAAAAAGAACAAGAATGAATGCTGTTTCTTAAGCAAAGATCCCTTTCCCTTGTAGCCTTGATGGTTTTAAGTATGGCTTTTAACTTAAACTACTCTTGTTTCTAGGAGGTTGCTCAGAGAAGTACAGTCTTTAAAACAACCATACCTGAAGAGGAAGAGGAGGAGGAAGAAGTAGCTGGAGTGGTTGTTGAGGAGGAACTTTCCCACCAGCAGGTATTACTTTATTTTTATATGGTTGCTTAAAATTTTGTTAATATAATTACATGAAGACCGATGGTGTGGTTTGGTTTTTCTAACCCCCTGTTACTTGAAGAACTAGAGCTGTTATCTACCAAGTGGAGTTTGTACTTCCCAAAGGGATATTCAAGGTAATACTTGAGGGTACTAGAAGAGTACATTGGCACTTAAAATAGAATTGTTTTTTTCTCTTTCTATCAAAATTCAGTTTGTCTTTTGTTTTCTAATGTGCAGAATATGTTGTTATGCTAGGAAATGTATATCTCTTATAAATAAGTATATATGGATTGAATTGTATTCCACTAATTTACTCTGTAGGCTTCTGTGATTAAAATGTTTAGATCAAGGCTGGGCATGGTGACTCACACCTGTAATCCCCGCACTTTGGGAGACTGAGGAGTTCAAGACCAGCCTGGGCAACAAAGTGAGACCTTGTCTCTACAAAAAAAATGAAAAAATTAGCTGGGCATGGTGGTATATTCCTGTAGTTCCATTTACTTAGGAGGCTGAGGTGGAATGATGTAAGTAATAAGTAAGCCCAGAAGGTCGAGGCTGTGGTAAGTCATTATTGTGCCACCATACTCTAGTCTGGTGATAGTGATACCCCAACTCACAAAAGAAAAAAAAAGTTTAGATCACTAAACTTGAGCAAGCAACTACATGTAAGTGTACAACAAAGTTAATATTCAACTTCAATGTGAAACAAAATTCTTGCTATATTAAGACCCTAATCGTTATCTAATTGCAAGAGACATTTTAGCTGATGCTTGGCTTTTGAGAGCCCTTGAAATAAAGAAACTCCAAATTTGGTTTCAATTGTAATTAAATTGGAATTATTAATAACTAATGAGCCCTCAGTTTATATTCTCAAGCTGTTTGAGTCTGGTCATTAATCTGAGTTCCTACCCATATCCTGATAATATTTTGTCTCCATAGCTCGTGGCACAATCATAGCTCACTGTTTAACCTCAAACTTCTGGGCTTGGGCAGTTCGAACACCTCAGCCTCTCAAGCAGTTGTGGCTACTCTGCCTAGCTAATTTTTTCTTTTTAATTTTTTGTAGAGACTAATTTTTTGATTTATTGTAGAGACTTGCCAAGTTGCCCAGACTGGTCTTAAACCCCAGGACTCAGGCAGTCTTCTTGGCCTCCTAAAGCTGGGATTACAGGTGTGAGTCACCATACCCAGCTTACATTTGGTTTTAACAAAAAACAAGCACAAAGTCTATTTCCTTCTCTTAATAGGAAGCATCATAATGACTAGAAGTAAAATACCTTTCATCCCAGCACTTTGGGAGACTGAAGTAGGAGGATTGCTTGACCCAGGAGTTTAAGATGCCTGTGCAACTCAGTGAGACCCCATCACTACCAAAAAGTAAAAACCTAACTCAAGGTGCCAAATAGCTCAGGGCATGAGTTGTAGCATGTTAGATGCCAGAGAAGGCCCTCCAGGCCAGCAGAGTAGTTGAAAAGAACTCTGGGAGGTGATAGGTGTCCAGTTTTATGAAGGATGAGAAATTTTGGGGGTATTAGAAGGCAGATGATGGTGTTCTGAGGGTGTTTGGATTACCTGTTCCTTCATTAACAGCTTACCCCAAGACTTAGTGGCTAAAAGCGATTTTTTTTTTTTTTGAGTTGGAGTCTCACTCTGTCGCCCAGACTGGAGTGCAGTGGCCACTCCTGGCCACGGCAGCCTCGACCTGCTGGGCTCCGGTGATCCTTCCGCCTCAACCTTCCAAGTAGCTGGAACTACAGGCGCACGCTACCACGCTGGCTAATTTTTTGATTTATTGTAGAGATGAGGTCTCGCCAAGTTGCCCAGGTGGGTCTCGAACCCGCAGGCTCAGGTAGTCCACTCACCTCAGCCTCCCAAGGCACAGGATTACAGGCTGAGCCACCGAGCCCGGCTATGATGATTTCTTAACTTCTGTGGTTTGACTGGGTTCAGGCCGGCAGTTGGGTTCCACATGGTGGGACTGAACTCAGTTATGCCATTGTGTTCAGCTGAGAGCTTGACTGGATCTTTAGGTCTCATTCTGTATGGTTTCCATGATTTAGTAGTTTAGTCCAACCTTCTTTACATCATGGCAGTTGTCTAAGAGGGTAAGTGGAGAGCACCAGATCTCTTTATAAACTAGGCTCAGAACTGGCACAGTGTCCCTTCTACAACATTCATAAAGTCAATTATAAAGCCCACCTGGAGGTTAAGTAGTCTCCACCTCTTGATGGGAGGATTGGCAAATAACTTACTTTCAAGGATCTTTAATTCACTATAGAGGATGTGTCGGGACTTATACACCAAGTATATTCATCCATTCAGTGGCTTTGTAGAATTTATGTAAGAGATAAATGAAGTTGAGAGATATGTATTAAATTGGCATCTTTAGAATGCCTAAGGCATGTAGTTCCTGCACAATTTGGAGCAAAGGAGAATTGGAGACCCATATTTTAGGATATCACTAGGCAAGCTGAATCAGAGGTACTATCTAGAAGGGAAATTGCAAAAACACTGAGGGAGCATATAATGGAGATTTATTAAGGTATAGTGACTAAACTCGAGGGTGAGAGAAGGAAAAAAGAAGTCAGATGTGTGAGATTTTTAACTTGTGTGATCACAGAAGATAATGATATCAAGGTTCAAAAGAGGGACGATGTAAGGGTAGAACAGCTATTCTGACTTCATCATATTTGAGGATGAATCCTACAACCTTTTGAATTGATTAGAAGTTTTTTGGTGACCTTCAAAAAACCAATTTTAGTTTAATCAGTAATGAGTCAAAAGTCACACTCTGAGGTTTTAAGGAATTAATGGGTGATAAAGAAATGGATAGGGGAGCCATTTTGACTTCACATTTGAGGACAAATACAGCTCAAATGGCTCAGAATGTGGAAGTTCAGGATCCAGCCAACCATGTTTTCTGATGTAGTTGTTGAAAATGGAGTCCACAGATCTCCTGTTTCCTAAGGTAGCAGAGGAAGTTATTGAACAGTGGTTTTCAGCTTCAACTGCATAGTAGAATTACTTTAAAATTATATACGTAGGTGCCCTTTCCCAGTTAAATGAGAAATTCTCACTTGGTTGATTTAGGAACCTAGAGCAGATTTTTTTGTTTGTTTGTTTAACTTTTTAACTCCCCAGGATCTGAATGTGCAGCTAGAGTTGAGAATCACTGTTCTAGAATTTGTTGGTGTATTCTAGGGACAATGTCCATAAGAGAGAGTTGAAAAGGGTAAGTGAGAAATGGTAAGGGCCCATTTGAAGTTAGATAATGTAGATTTGTAGTATCCCTATTGAAAGTTGTTTTAGAATATTGTGTTCTGTTTTTAGCACTAATTTTTCCTTCTGTTTTTCTCATCAGGGAACCCCAAGAGAATCCAATAGAAGCTGTGCAATTATGTAACTTCTCAAGTCAACTGTCTTCCTCAAAATAAAGAAGTATGGTAATCCTTACCTATATACAGTGCAGAGCCTTCTCAGAAGCACAGAATATTTTTATATTTCCTTTATGTGAATTTTTAAGCTGCGAATCTGATGGCCTTAATTTCCTTTTTGACACTGAAAGTTTTGTAAAAGAAATCATATCCATACACTTTGTTGCAAGATGTGAATTATTGACACTGAACTAATAACTGTGTACTGTCTGGAAAGGGTTCCTCAAACTTTTTGACATTTTTAAAAAATGTGTGTGTTTTTTCTTTTTTTTTAAGTTCCTGTGAGAAGGGGAGAGGAGGGTCAGGTCAGTAAACCACTGTGTGTCTCGGTGTAATTTGAAGATCGCTCCATCTAGATTAGTAATCTGCTCTTGATTATTCTCTGCTATATAACGGTGCTGTGAGGGAGGGGGAAAGCATTTTTCAATATATTGAACTTTTGTACTGAATTTTTTTGTAATAAGCAATCAAGGTTACAATTTTTTTAAAATAGAAAAGACAATTTTGTAAGAAGGCAATATTAACCCAATCATCATGTAAGCACTCTGGATGAAGGATTCCACAAAACTTTGTTTTATGGTTACTTCTTCTCTTTGATTCTTAATTCGTGAGGGGAATGGGGGGAGGAGGGAGGAGGAAAGGGCTTCTCTATTACAATGCATTAGCTGTGTTTTTTAAGATAGTGTAACTTGCTTAAATTTCTTATGTGACATTAACAAATAAAAAGCTGTTTTAATATTAATCTACTGTCATTTTTAACCCTTTAACAACAGATTTTGAGGGAAGAAAATATTGTTTCAGTTTTGCTTTTGATGTAAATTGACTTGTTTGAACTGAATTTTTCTTTAAGACAATTGAAGAGGATAAATACACAAATCAGCCATTTTGGGGGCCTTTCGGTACTCTTATTCTCATTAATGACAACAATAATAAAGGCAATAACAACAGCCAATGTTTTTGAGCCAGACATCATGCACAATGCTTTATTACATTTTGTAGCTTATTAATGATAAGGCATTTAAAAATCTCTTTAGGAAAGCCAAATAGGGACAGTGGAAGAAGACATAGGGGAAGATAGTCCTATTAAAGGGAAAAAATGGAGAAATTATTTTAGAATCAGTTTTACTGTCTTCTAAAATAAGAAGGAAAGAGAAATTGATTAAAAGCCACCTTTTTGGAGGAATAATGGATGATTGATGGGAATATTGCATGTGGTCATCATGAGGGTTTCATTTGCTGTGGATTTGGGAGTTTTTGTCATGTGATTGCTTTAGCTAAGTGAGTTTATCATATAGGAAGTGGACTATCTGAACCCTTCCTAGAATGAACAAATGGTAATATTTCAGAAGCTAACCCAGAGTCAGTGTTTGCTTTTCTCTTGAAATATTCCTGCAGTAAGCTGTGCAAAGACTACTGGCTTTTGCTTGAAAATAACTCACAAAGCCGCAGAATTACTGTGCTCCACATATTTACTGCATACTTTGGTGCCGTCGCAGACACAAGATAAATGCTGGGTTAGAAATTCTGTCTGGTAAAGCAGATAAAATGATAACTTCTCAACACAGATTTATCTTCAGAGTGAGAACAGCAATACGTGTGCAGCCAGACTTGGTTGTGAAACATTTTGCCACAAGATGGGGCACTCAATACACTCAAGGTGCTTTATTGCTGGATAAATTAGGTTATAAAAGTCAACACTTTAATTAGTTGGGCATTAAGAAAAATTGGCAGTTGTAATACAGTAGAATAGTATGTACGCTGGGGAAATTTAGAGTGAATCTCCAAGACTCAACATAATTCGGTGCCCCTGGATGTGTGGTGGTAGATTGTGGAGTCTGTTTAGACTACTAAATTGATATTTTCTGAAATTGAGCTGCACCTAAGTCCATTTCCATAGAATGTCAAAGTCAGAGGACATGAGCCATTCTGCATATTAAATCGGTATCTGCCTCAATGGAGGTTAGGCATACAGCATCTGTAGATACAGTTTTGGATCACTTAACTGTCTTATAACAAATATGAGTTCGCTGTTTCACCTGGTTTTGTCTTTGTATTCTGGTTTCACTACTGTGTTTAGATATGGATTTATTTTTATTCCTCTTGTTCAGGTCTCATCTCTGTTCTTCACTAAGAGAATTCTGGATATTCTTACTTTGTTGAGTATTAATTATCTTGTCCCCTCTCCCTGTTCTTCTGGGAATTCTTTTAGACTTTTATTGGATCTATCCTGCTTCATATGTTTTAGATTTCTCTATGCTGTATTCTCAGTAACTCCTCTGTATTTAATCTCATTGATTCTGTTCTCAGCCCTGTCTAATCTGTTGTTTATGCCAGCCATTGAGTTTCTGGTTTCATGGACTTTACTTTTTATTTCTAAAGTTATCTTTGATTCTTTTTCAAATCTGCCTGTTCTTTTTTCATACTTACTTGTTCATTATGGTTTCTATTCTTATAAATCATTTTAGTTATTATTTTTATAGTCTCAATTCTATTTACTTGAGTTTTGAGGGATGCTGACTTTTCTGTTAGCTTCATGTGTTGACTCTCATAATGGTGGTTTACCTCCTCATGGGGTTTTTAGGACGGTGAAAACATCTTTGGCAAGGGCTGTTTATTCTGTGAGTGATCCATGGTTTTGAGGGCATTGTTACAGAGGAATTTGGAAGTTTCCTGTGCCGGAGTGTCAGTACCATGTTTTGGTCATTTTCTTACCTTGCGGTAGTATAGGTCCACTGTGACACTTGTACACGGGTGTTCTCTGCTTTTCTCAGATAACGTCCACATATCTTTGTCTTTGCTCTGGACTGACTGGCAGTGTTCTGGAAGCCTGAGGATGCAGGGAGCAATGTAAGGTTCATGCTTTATGCAGCAGTCTCAGTTCTAAGTCCTCTTCCTTGCAAGGACCCAAAGCTGTGTTTCCTGTCCCCACCTATCAGCCTCTGAGGCTTATATTCCAGATTTTGAGTTCTTTGTTTTTTGTGGCACCTGGGTATTTCTTGTTCTTTCTTTCAAGCTTGGTTCTACATATATATGTGTATATATATGTATGTATATATGTGTATATATGTGTATATATATATGTATGTATATATGTGTGTGTATATATATATACATACATATATATGTATGTGTGTGTATATATATATATATATATATTTTTTTTTTTTTTTTTTTTTTTTTGAGTTGGAGTCTCACTCTGTCACCCAGACTGGAGTGCAGTGGCCACTCCTGGCCACCGCAGCCTCGACCTGCTGGGCTCCGGCAATCCTTCCGCCTCAGCCTTCCAAGTAACTGGAACTACAGGCACGTTCTACCACACCCGGCTAATTTTTTTGATTTATTGTAGAGGTGAGGTCTCGCCAAGTTGCCCAGGTGGGTCTCGAACCCGCAGGCTCAGGCAGTCTACTCACCTCAGCCTCCCAAAGCGTGGGATTACAGGCTGAGCCACCGAGCCTGACTAACTTGGTTCTATATTAAGACAAAAATCAAGTTTTATTTTACGAGTGGAAGGAAGGAGTTGTCCATGTCAGTTTAGTCTGCCATCATACATGTATGTGTATACTTTTAAGAGATATGATTATTCTAAGTCATGTTCTTTTTGGTGTCAATCTCTCACCTACTCTTCTTTTCATCACATCTTAAGGTACAAAGAAATTTGTTTGAATGCCCCTTTTCCTGCCAAAAAACACATGTTAAAATGAGAGAAATGGAAGACTCTTTAAATAACCCATACCTTCTGGATCGTTGGCTTCTAAACAAAATGCAGATATTTTTTCTTTTTAGTTCTGTTGCATGAAGTAACAACATAGATGTGAGTCTTGGGAGGTGCCGCCAGAGGGAATGTTTCCTAGGGTCCAGACTTGAGAGTCCCTGGAACGCGGTTCTGGTTGGTATTCATTATATTTACGTGGGAGGATCCAGAATTTTGAAATTGGGACTGAGTCTTCTTCCCTGCCTCCCAAAGGAAAACAACCAAAAAGGCTCTGAAGGAGGTAGTATTTACAGTTCTGTGTTTTTTCTATTTGGCCGCCTTACTGAAGAGACATTCAGAGCCAATTTGATGAGAATGAGGAAAATACTTGGCAAAATACAAGTCATATTTCAAATTGTTGGGGAGGGGAACTTCACATGAACGGTGCTGCTTGGAAAGAGTTGTTAATGAATGGGGAACATCGCTGGGAGTGGATACTGCTTTCCTGCTTTGGAGGGTCACAGTAAGGGCAGAGAACAGTCAGAGACAGACCAGTAGCCAGCTTGCCCTGGAGCTGTGTGTTGGATCCAGAGTGGAAAAATCTCACTTCCTGCCGCCTACCCCTCACTTCCACAATTCTGCATTTTCTTTCGCTGTTAACAGCACAGTAAATCCTGTCCTCTGCTGACATTTCTCCAGAGACAAAATGCACCCCACAATTTGAGGAGATGGCCTGTTCAGTAGTAGCTTAATTACTTTGTAACAATAAAACACATATTCACCCAGATTTATTATGTGAGTGCTTCCTCCACCAATCTGAATTGGAATTCTCAGTTTAAATGCCAGCCAAGTTTGCTTTTAGAGAAATGCAACTCCTGTTCCATTTTAGGGGTTTTTATCCTTACTTGGGCTATGTATTCACATGAGCTGCAGTCTGCGGAACCAGAAGATTCCTCTGCATTTGAAGCCATTTTCTTAAACACTAGTGATTCCTTTGATTGAGAATAAATTCTTACTTGCCTTTTAAGCCTCATTTCGTGATCCACTTGGCTTACAGCTGTGGCCCTAATCCTTCTGCCGCTGTAGCATCTGCTGGTTTCCCGCATTTTTCCCTGCATCTGTCTGTGGGGCAGTCCTCACCATAATTGTAGTAGGGTGGAAGTGCCTTTGGTAGTGTTTGGATTTCCTCAGTGTTTTGTGGCTCTGTAATTTTTCTCCAATTGGCTGGTTTGGTCTGTTGAATACATACAGGTATTTCCACAGCCCCTTTGCCTACAGTCCTGAGTCCTGTGACTTAAGTGCAGCCCCAAGTGCTAGCTGAAGGGTCCACTGTGACCAGAGGGACACAAATGCCTCTTTGCACTGAGTACATTTCACTCTGGCAGAGAACTGACTTTCTAGCACAGTGGTCTAGAGTGATCTTCAGATGACTTGCTCTTTACCTAGTTTCCCAAATTGAGTCCCAAGTCACTTGTTTTTCCCTTCTTTTCTCTCCACTGTCCACTTTGAGCCAAGGAGCCTCCCTCTCGCTCCACCCTTTAACAAGCACTGCTTTTTAATTAGATCCTGGTGGTTAGTTCATCCTCTTCCAATGAATGGGGCCATGACCAGCCTTCCTCTTAGCTGCCAGCTTCCACCCCTCTGTTCTGCTGCCTCTTCAGCTGGCAGACTTCAGGAAGAGACAAACCCATACTCTCTCTGGGGCCAACATTTTTCTCGGTACCATTTTCCCAGCTACCCAGTCAGACCATTACTCTTTCATGTTTTTGCCTTGGTAAGAGAAAAACTGTTAGAAAATTTAAACCCTGCAAAAAAAAACAAAACAAACGAGCGGAAAATGTTCATACCATGTAAAATAAGTGGTGGGCCTAGACCACCTGGAGAGATGCTTCATGGGTCACCAGGGAGAGTGATGCTTATTCTAGACCTGGAAGGGGTCCTTCTGTGGAGAAAGAAGGGTTTGGACACAAGGTGAAGACAGGAGTGGGGTTCTAGAAATGCAGTGCTGCCCTGCCCTGGTGTTATGTGGGGAGCACAAGCTGACATGTG